CAGACAACCCCGTAACAATATGCGTTTTGTACTGCTGTTACACAGCACAAAACGCATAATAAAGGGGTAAACGAAGAGAGTGAAATTAGATATTAATGCATAAGCACTCAATAAATAAAAAAGAATAAGTCGAAGCGCACACCGGAACTGCTGGTGCGATCATGCGTTTTGTGCAATTTCGTCCACTGAACGATTGCCCGTTAATGATTTTCACTGCTTTGTACTTTAGTCTATGCAAAAATAGTTGAAAGGCTGAAAAATAGTTAAAAATTTCACGGACAGGCACGTGAAGGCTGAATATGAAACCTCGAAGAGCGAATATTCTTTCAAAATCTCAATCTTCTAAATTTTTGGCTCTCGACTGATCTTTGAAAAAAACTTTCACGTGGTCATATGTAAGATCTCGGTATACTCGAAAGCTGAACTGGAGTTTGTGAAGCCCCTGCTTAGAGAGGAAACATCCCCCTGAAATTTTTACCCCCTAACTCTAATGGCTCCCAAAACGATTTGCCATGCTTTCACGGGGACACTGAAGATTTGCGGAATTGTACGTGGGCAGGGAAAGCCACGCTAAAATTTCAGCTTTCTAGCTTTTGCAGTTCACAAAATAATAACTTACCCGCAAAAATTTTCACGGAGCCGTTCATGTTACCCACGCGCAGGGGAAGGCTGAATTTAAATTTTCTGGGTAGCATGTGGGCAGGGGAAATGCCTACAAAACTTCAGCCTTCTAGCTTCTGTGGTTCCCGTGATAACGCTTTTATCCGCTCAAACTTTTACAGGGCCGTACGTGTTACCCGCGGGTACGGGGAGGCTGAATTTAAATTTACTGAGACACACGTGGGTGGGGAACGTTGCCTTAAATTATCAGCTTCCTAGCTTTTGTGGTTCTTGAGTTGAAAGTTGCGGACAAGTTGCTGCGAAACACACACAAACACACACAGACAACCCCGGGACAATATGCGTTTTGTACTGCTGTTACACAGCACAAAACGCATAAAAACCAAACTGAGCAGGAAAAAAGCTTAAGTATTATTGGGAATACTAAACAAATCTAGGTTTCTGTTAATAAGAATACGATGATTATTAAGGAATCCCAAAGCTAGAAGAATCGTACATACGTCACACTTCGAGACTGATAATGTATAAAGTGGCAAACCTTGGGCAGCACATCCAAACTATACTTTCGCCAATCTGGATCAGTTTGTTGCCAAAGTGAGATTGTATCAGTACACGAATCCAGCTCCATCATATTGCTAAATGACAAAAACTTGAAAACGAGAATTATACAACACGGTCACCTTGTCCACCGTCTAAAATCTCAAGCGAACAAAAGAGTTCGTTTTTTTCCCCTTTGTATTATACATCAAGTTTGAAATCATAAGAAAATACTAAGTAATACATCCAACACCGGAAATGTTGCCAGCTGCACAAGAGTTGCGAAACCGCTCTGGGTTTACTTACTTCGTCAGATGATCAAAGTGCGAATAAAACATGTCATTTTTCAAGACAAACCAGACTACTCTAATTCGTCTGATCGGATTAATTTATATAGCTTAATCATGAATATTTTTCAGTGTATATGAAGAGGGAACCCAGCCTGGAACGCACCAGGCGGGCCGGTGCGATCACGCGTTTTTGCACTTTTGGTGCCATAGCAAGATCGCAAGGAATCACAGTAGATAGTCCTGTGACATACTGGCCCTCGAAATCCGGGAATTTAATTATGCTGCTATTTAGTACGTCAGTTGTAGATACCGACTTCAATGACCCGACAAAAGGAAAGTTGCTGGTCCGCGAAAAAGGCCCCACTAGAAGAGTTAAATTTGAAATCTTTTAGTCGCGCATGAGTAGGGAATAATCCCTTAAAATTAAAGCCTTCAGCTTTTCCCGTTCCCGAGTTAGTAGTTCCCCCATTAAAATTTTCGTGTGCCCGTACTTGAGTACCGGACGGTTCTAAGGATCTGAATGTGAAATGTTTTGATAGTAAATGAATGGAGAACAGTCCCCTAAAGCATCAGGTTTTTAGCTTTTCTCGTTCATGAGTTGACAATTTTTTTGCCAAAAGTTTCACTTGTCCCGTGCAGATCTCGGGCTTCCCTAAACAACTGATTTTGGTCGTACATAGTAGGTCCCCCCCCCCTCCCCTAAAGTTTCGGCTTTCTAGCTTTTCTCGCCCCCGGGTAAGTGATTTTCCCGCCAAGATTTTCACTTGCCCGTACGAGAGCTCCGGGTAGTTCTAAGAAGCTGAGTTTGAAAAGTTCCGGTCGTGTGTGGATAGGGAACATTCCTCCAAGATTTCAATCTTCTAGCTTTTCTCCTTAGAACCGCCAAAACTTTCACGTGCTCGTAAGAGAAGCCTAGACGTGCGTGAGGGTCGATACCGCGGTCCTGGGGTGGCACTTGGCTGGGGAACACATTAGCAAAATTTAAGCTTCAAAGCTTGCGTGGTTGGCGAGTTGAAATACCCGGACACAGACACACACACGTGCAAATACACACACACACACACACACACACACACACACACACACACTGACAGGGTCGTTGCAAAATGCCTTTTTGTTGCCTGTTGCAGCACTCTAGCGCTGCACAACAAAAACGCATAAAAAATGCGAAGGCGTACAAAAAAAGACGAAAACTAAATAATTCATAAACCAGTGATTCGCAATAAAAAAAGTGAAACTAATATGCCTAAGAAAAAGAAACCTTGTGGTTCCAACACAAATGAGATAACGTAAATGAACAACCGCAAACTTGTGCAAAATTACACGGCACTGCAGTGCAAACAGGTCACAGACCCTCAAATTAAAGTCAAAACCTCAATCATTATTTACTCCCTCACATACGGAAGAAACTTGACTGTTAGCAAATGCTAACAGCAGCTATGTGATGGCAAAACTGTCGATGTCTTCCCTTTTAAAAGTTATCCAGAAGTAGGCTGATGGCGATTTTGAATTCCTAATATGCGCCAGTACCAATTTACGTTGAAAAGAATGAAAGAATTATAGAATAGTTGCCGCTTGTCTACTAGCAAAATCGAATCTTTAACTATAAGTCCGAAAACGGCGTCACGTGTTATATTACCATATTGCTAGCTGTTAGAAGCTCAAGCCGGAAAAAATGTCCTCAATAACACTGCTTCTCCGGCCTGCCATTTCCCCTTTACCCACTGCGCCTTTATATTTTTGTAGCCAAATTTTTAGGTATTTAAGCGGGGCAATATTCAGTAAATGGCAACGCGCACCAGACTAGCCGGTGAGATCATGTGTTTTGTGCAATTCAGCCGATCGAACGATTGCCTGTTAATGATTTTCACTGCTTTGTACTTTAGTCTTTCAAAAATTGG